CAGGGAGACATACTCCAGGGGAGCCCAGCATGTGTGGCTCAGGATTGATGAGTGAAGTCTATAGTGATCATTTAACTCCTGCAGCCCTCTCAAGTGTCTATAAGCATGGTGTGGCTAAGTGGTTTTTTTGTTCTTCAGATTCCCTAGCTTTATTTTCAGAGGAAATTGTTTTAGTTGGTTATAGCTCTTCTGTCTCTAAACTCTTCAAGGATGGCTCTTCTCAGGATAAAATAAGTTTGTGCCCAGTGTGACTTTTCACTAAAATTGGCCAAATCTAAGAGATGAAGGCTTTGCCTTTTATCGCATGCTTGCTTTTGCTGATCGGAGCGATGTGGAACCAAGCCTGTAGCCTGTCAGGAGAGTTATTAATGGTTCTGGTGTTAGAGGGCATTCAGTAACCAGGCTGTGATACGCATTCATAATAATGTATACCCCCATCTGGAAACTGATGTTTAGGAGAGGTAACTGGAGTGAATATTGAAGCAGGCAATGCAGTTAAAGGAAAGGGTAGGCAATCTTACCTCATTTGTTTTAAACATTGCAAACCTGGGGGAAATCATAGTGGTTTTTTTTTTCTTTACCTAATCAGTTTACTTCACTTTCTGTGTTAGGTTTTTGCCCTTCAATTGATCATATTTGCAGTATTTCCTTGAACAGGAAAAGAAAACAGACGGTATGAGATAAAATGGTCTCTAGAAACTTATGCCTGTTTGTTCTGACACTTGTGCTGGAGTCCCTGCTTATCAAACAGTGGAACTGAACTTTTTTTCAAGGATTCTGGATTTCATTCCAAATGTGAAATATGATTTCCAAAGGCCCAGACAAATTTCTTATTTTTGCCCTAATTCTCTACCTCCCAAAGAACTGGAGCTACCTTAACATAAACTGGACAACTCTACTTCTGTAAGACCAGAGATTCCAGGAATGTCTAAATCTGTGTCTTTTCTTACAGAGCATAGAGCTGCAGAAATTTCAGTCACTTCTAGAGCTGACCTACAATACCTATAGTTCTGCAAGGCTGGCAGGCCACTTCTTCAGCACTGTCGGTACTACATCACAGCTTTTGTCTTGAATTTCCATCTGGGCTATATTCCACTTGAAAAAGTCTATATACAGTTGTTTGTGCAGCTCAAAACTGAGATAAAGAGTTAGAAGAGCAGGGAAGTGGAAACACTCCGATTCACGTCTAAGTTGTTGGTTTTGTCATGTTATTTTTACTGTGATTCAGTTAAATCTTTTGCTTGTTTCTTTACTTTCTAGGACTGTTGAAAATCCATCTGAATTTTTGCATCTAGTCAACAAAGGCCTACAGCTGAGAGTCAGGCACCCAACATTGGTGCATGCTCATTCCTCTCGTTCTCATCTGGTAGTTACGTTGACCATAACCACAATTGTCTGTGGAGAAAACTTTGGTAAGTAGGATGTTACTAAAATACATCTAGAGCCAATTGGTTTTTTTTGAAAAACAGTCTGTGGACTGAGAGATTTTCATGTTGATTTTTTCCTCCTTTTTCCAATGTTTAACACATTCCCTCAGTTCTTGTCCATTGGTTAACTTCTACCTACCTTTTTTTAAATAACAGACCAGTTTGATGTTTGAGTGCTACTGAAACTTTCACTTCCATAAAATTTTTCACTTTTCTTTACGTGTCTTGAAGTTTTATAGCATGAAACAACTAATGAAATAAATTCTATCAATAAGTCATAAGATAGGATATCAATAAGATAGATACTCAAATACAGTAGTTAAATCACTTTGTGTGACATATAACTATTCATGCTAAGTTTGTAGTAGAGCAAACCATGCATTTTGGGGATCATCATATGCTTTTGGGTGAGAAAGAATTATTCTTTTGCCCTCTGCCTTGCAAAAACATCCATTAAATTCAGTCTCTTGAACTGTTACTAGTAGGACACTGTAGGAACAGACAACATAGTTGTCTTATTTCCTATGGCAAAATCTGTATTTCTACTTTTCATTAACACACCAAGACTTACGAGTTTATTGCTTTAGGAATAACTTCCAGCTTTTAGGGGTTAACTTTGTTTTCTTTTGCTAATGTTGTAATTAGGCTCTCTGCTTCCAGTGCTGTGGTCCATCTCCTTCATACTCTGCAGCAACAAGATGGTTTTAGAAAGTGGAAAATATTTTGCATTTTTTCCCTTAGATTGCTATCAGAAATTAAACCGACAATATTAGCAAAACAGAACAAACAGTGCCCTCGCTTACCTATGGGCCTTGCCAAAACACACATTTTTTTCACAAGTTGCAGCTCCAGTGTTCCAGATGTTAGCTCTATAGCCAGTTCCAGACTCTTGTCAAACAAACAGATGTTACTTTTCAAAACACAGTGTTTGCACCGCTAACACACGAGCCATCTTGTCTTGTCCAGTCTTCCCTTTGCCATTTCCGATAGCAGTCACCCTCCTACACCATGTTGTCTGGCAGCAAAGCTCACGTTGAGTGCAGACTGAGGCTTTCAGCTTATAGTGCATGGATGAAGATGAGCAATACTGAGGGGCAGAGCAGCCCTGCAAATGGGACCTTGCTACAGCAGTGTGACAACATGTTCCGGCTTGTTTAAAAGGAGAAATTCCTGATTTAAAAGCTAGGTGCAATTGTTAAATATCTCAACACAGGACATTGTTCTGTAACAGCAGAACAAGTCCAAGACCACCTCATGTCACTGAATGTATATAAGTCTATGGGGCCAGATGATATGCATCCCAGGGTTCTGAAAGAGCTGGCTGATGTGGTTGCTGAGCTACTCTCCATCGTATTTTAAAAATCATGGCTGTTGGATGAAGTCCCCGGTGACTGGAAAAAGGG